TGGGTTGGAAGGGACCTCAAAGCTCATCCAGTGCCATGGGCAGGGACACCTCCCACCATCCCAGGCTGCTCCAAGTTTGTCCAGCTTGGCCATGGACACTTCCAGAGATGGAGCAGCCACAGCTTCTCTGGGAATTCCATCCCAGCCCCTCACCACCCTCCCAGCCAGTTCCTTCCCAATATCCCACCCATCCCTGCCCTCTGGCAGTGGGAAGCCATTCCCTGTGTCCTGTCCCTCCATCCCTTGTCCCCAGTCCCTCTCCAGCTCTCCTGGAGCCCCTTTAGGCCCTGGAAGGGGCTCCAAGATGTCCCTGGAGCCTTCTCTTCTCCAGGGGAACATTCCCAGCTCTCCCAGCCTGGCTCCAAAGCAGAGGTTCTCCAGTCCTTGGAGCATCTCCGTGGCCTCTCTGGGTTCCCTCTAGCCAGATCCTTCCATGACTGATCCCTGTGTGTTCCAGACAATTCTGGGATTGGGAGCAGATCAGCACAACCCTCTGCGTTGACGTTTGGCACCGACCCCCCCGACTCACCAGCACCGGGAGCACCAGAGCCATGAACCCTCCACAGGACACGGAGAAGGCCACGGTGTAGGTGAGGAGCAGCGGGAATGTCGTGGCCAGGGGCCCCAGGAGGTTTGTGATCCCGCTCAGGACCAGGTAAGTCACGTGGAAATGGTACTTCTTGGTCCAGTTCTGGTCGGCCACCCAGCCCGAGAGCAGCTGGCTCAGCATCTCCGTGATGCCTGAGGGAACAGGAGTCACCAGAGCCTCAGAAAACGCTTCATTGGGGATAGTTTTTCCTCTTTTTCCTTGTGTCACATCCCAGTTTCACCTGCTCGCTATGACCACAAAGGGCTGAAACGCCAAAAAGTTACAGGAAGGTGTTTTTAGGCTGTTGTAAAATTGATATTTGGGGTTTTTTTGCCTTTCCCCAGCTATTACCAAGTCGGTAAAAATTCAGTCAAGGGCTCTGCACTCAGCAGAAATCTCTGAAATGCCCTTCAGAAAAAACAGGGGAGATAAACTTGCTGTCTGATCTTTTTCTGAGATGGAGAAAAAGCGGAATATTAAGAAATATGTGCATGAGATTTTAATTTTTCTAAAGAAACCAATTGCCCAGCATTTCTTTAAAGGCTCAGCAAACTTTTGATACTTGGTTTTTTACATTTCTCGATACATTTTTATGAACCAAAGATCAGAGGAGAGCTCACTGTCAGCTTGTGTCTTGTACCACTGTGTCCCTCCTACTCTTAATTCAAAATACCACCTGAATTTCTGGGCTCTCCTAAATCCCTTGACAGCACATCACTGCTCAATATCCCACAGCTCTGTAGAAGGAAAGTGTATTTTTGTACAATAAAATATTTGAATATGACTGAGATTGGAGCTGCTTTCTTAACCCAGTGTGTTAATCCCAGTTTATAATCAGGCCTGGAGTTGTTTTTTGGAGAGTTTAGGTTGATTTTTCCACCACCCCGTGGAGGTGGATTTTTTCCACAATATTGAATTTTTCTCTCCTGGGTCAAACTGGAGCTCTTTGGGTTCTGAGTGATTTCTGTGGGTTGTGGGTTTAAGCAAGGCAGGGATGGTGGTGAGAAGGCTCCAGGAGAACAGAGAGCACCTTTTTACTGGAAAATTGGGTTTGTTGGGAGCAGGGAGGATGGGGAATCATCCACGTTGGGTTGGGAGAACCACCCACCCTGTGAGAGCAACTTGTGCTGGATAGAAGGGGATCCTGAATATACAGAGGGATCAGTGCTGTGAGCTCAACCTCTGCCAGGAGGATTCCTTCTAGGACATATCTGGGACTATTTCTTGGCAAAATTTGGGTTGGTTTTCTCTTCTGAAATGGGTTTAAAAGATTCCTTTGCCTACCAGCCACTGAGATGAGGTAGGAGCCATCCATGCTGCTCATTCCCAGGGTCCTGGCTCTTGCCACCAGGTGAAAGAAGGGCACGAAATAGGCCAAGTGGCTGAACAAAAAAGACCACGTGAAGATGAAGAAAACGGGATCCTTCAGGGGGGACAAGTCCAGGAGAGGCTGAGAAGTTTCTGTTTTGTTTGCTGAAAGGGGTTTGTTGCTTCTCTTGGCCCCTGTGGCCGTTTCTGGTGAGGATCTGTCTGGGGTGGGTTTCTCCAGCTTTCCCAAAGCAGATGGATTTGTGGGATCAGAGACATCTTTGCCGTGGGGCATCAGGAGTCTCTCTGTGGTGGGAAGCTCCTGTGCCTTGTGAGGGTGTAATTCCCTGTCAGTGGTTCCATCTAAACGTCCATCAGGAGTTTCTGGGTCCTTCTGTGCCATTGGTGACTCACAGTCTTGGTTTCTGGCAGAGGAGTGTCGGGTGCTGATGGGTCTCAGCAACAGGCTGGAAGGCACCAGGTTCAACATGATGCCTCCAAAAATCAGGAGAGTTCCTGAGGGAGGACAGGAGGGGTTTTATTCTTGGAGTGAGAAGGAGGTACAGTAGAAAATAAGCTTTTATAACAGGCCATGCATTGAACAAAGTCTGCCATAAGGAGAAGGCATTTTGCCTCCTCCTTATGGAGGAGGTAACAAAAGAGGAAGTTTTATTCCTCTTTTTCTGCCTAGAAGTCCTTTCTGCTCTGATGCACACAACAAATCCAGAGCTGCCTCTGGGATCTGGGAGCTTGTTTTGTTTACCCTCATTAAAAGTTGTGATGGACCTTCAAGATGGCATGAAACTGCAGTAAAAGGAGGGATTTTTGGGTTTGATTTCTCAGGTCTCTGTTTTGACGCCGACTTTAATGCGTGATTAGGTGTTTAATCATTAAGATGTCCCCAAACCATCCTAGAAGAGGCAGAGCTGTTGAATTTTAATCTTTAAAAGGAGCCTCTTCCCGTGCCCAGCTCTCCCCAAACGCCCTCTCAGTGCTGATAAATTTGGATAAGCAGGAGATCACTCACCTTGCCAGCCATAGAAGTCGAGGAGGAGCTGGGTGAATGGTGCCATGAGGAAGGTGAGCCCCATCCCAGAACGGGCCAGGGCGTTGGAAAAGCCCAACCGTGCCCGGCAGCGCTTGGCCGTCATCACTGCGGCCGCCTGGTACAGGCAGGAGAAGCCCAGCCCTGGGGGAAGGTCAAAAATAACACATCTATGCCCAAACTGTATCGTGAGCTCTTGGAATTTGAAGTCATGCCATGTCAGGTCTCTGGGATGCAGCGTTCCCGGGGGGATTTCCCCTGAACGTGGGATTTCTGCTCTTGGAGTCAGTGGAAAACGAGGTTTTGTGTGTGGTGTTAAATAACTGGGGGGTTGGAGGCTGTGCCCTTTCAGTGAGAGGTTTTGAAAGGCCAGGATTTGTTGGAGCCAGAAAAAAATCAGAGTTAGTTGGGTCTAGTGTGTTGAAACTCTGTTTTATTCTCCTGAGCATGGAGTTTTGAGGGTTCACACAACATCTCAGAGAAAGGAGCTGGGGATGCTTTGCCGCTCGAGGTTTACAGAATCACAAAATAATTGAGTTGAAGGAACCCCCAGGGATCATCAGTCCAACCCCTGGCCCTGCACAGACACCCCAACAATCCCACCCTGTCCCTGAGAGCGTTGTCCAAACGCTCCTGGAGCTCTGGCAGCCTTGGGGCTGTGCCCAAACCCTGGGGAGCCTGGGCAGTGCCCAACCATCCTCTGGGGGAAGAACCTTTCCCTGAGATCCAACCTGAGCCTGCCCTGGCACAGCTCCAGCCATTCCCTGGCTGCTGTCCCTGCTCACCCAGAGCAGAGATGGTTCTGCCCCTCTGAGGGAGCTGCAGACCCCCAGGAGCTCTGACCTGTCTCCTCCAGCTGAACAATCCGTGTGCCCTCTGCTTCCCCTGCAGACCCTTCCCCAGGTTTGGGGTTAAAGGAGCCGATTCCTTCGTGGTGCACAGGGAAAGGTGTGTCAGAGGCTGCTCACCCAGGAGGAGTCCCATGGAGACGCAGAGGAAGGGGACACTGGTGGCCTGGGTGCTGACCAGGCACCCCCCGGCCACCAGCCCGGCCCCGAGGAGGGAGGTGGGACGTTCCCCCAGCCCCCGGCACACGACGGCCACGAGCGGGGCTGCAAAGGAGAGAGGGACAAAGCTCAGGCTGAAGGTGATAAAGGGCCTCCCCTCCCTCACAGCCAGTTCCTTCCCAATATCCCATCCATCCCTGCCCTCTGGCAGTGGGAAGCCATTCCCTGTGTCCTGTCCCTCCATCCCTTGTCCCCAGTCCCTCTCCAGCTCTCCTGGAGCCCCTTTAGGCCCTGGAAGGGGCTCCAAGGTGTCCCTGGAGCCTTTTCTTCTCCAGGGGAACATTCCCAGCTCTCCCAGCCTGGCTCCAGAGCAGAGGGGCTCCAGAATCCTGGAATCCCAGGATCTTTTGGATCGGAAGGGATCTTGAAGCTCAACTCATTCCACCCCCTGCCATGGGCAGGGACACCTTCCACTAGCCCAGGTTGCTCCAAGCCCCATCCAACCTGGCCTTGGACACTTCCAGGGATGGGGCAGCCACAGCTTCTCTGGGAATTCCATCCTCACCACCTTCCCAGGGAAGGATTCCTTCCCAATATCCCATCTAAATGACACACAACCCCATCTTTAGACCACATTCCTGAGAAGTCACGTGTGGGTACCAACCACGTCCAGCTTGGAGCAGTCTGGGAAGGGAATTGGATCTGCAGGACATCATCAGTGCTCTTAAAGCAAATGTCCTGGGGTTGAAGCACTGTCCCAATCCTTGGGAATGCCAACTCACCTCCTAGGAAGCGCAGGGAGGACATGATGGAGCCAATCCAGCTGACCTGCTCAGAGGAGCCCCCCACCTCCTCTTGGAAAGCCACAAAGAAAATCCCAAAGGTCTTGAGCATCCCCATCACCAGGACGTTGACCTGAGTCAGGAGCAGACAGAGGTGAGGAGCCACAGGGGACCAGGAGGGAGGAAAAGCTTTTCCTTTTGATTTTCTCGTGTGGGTAATTTGTTATGATGATAAACAAATGGGACACTTGAGCTGGTGTTGGGGATTGTCAGCAGGGTGAGCTCATGGTTCATCTTAACAGACCCTCAAAAACCCCTCTGCAAACTGCCTTTTCTAAGAAAATGAAACAAAATCACACTAGAACCCAACTATTCCAGGATATTTTTGCTCTATGAGTTACTTTTTAATACTAAAGCAACAATTAAGTGGGTCTTGGCACTGCTGAAGATCCCTGGGAGTGGATGAGGGGGTGAGAGGAGCAGGATGGATGTTATCCAGGGCAGTTTCCCAGGCTTGTGCTGCCGTGGGAGCAAAGGACACACACTTTGTGTCCTTAATTTTAACTCCCTCACCTCCCTGGTAGCAGGGGGTTAATGATTGGCAGCAAGTTACTTGGGATGGGGTGGAACTGGGGAAAGCTTTCCCAGCTTGGGGGGTGGTGCCTTCATTACAGTTGGACTTGACGACCTTAAAGATCTTTTCCAGCCTTAAGGATTCCTTGATTCATCACAGGTGGGAAGACTGTGTGGTGTTAAATCCTGTGGAATGGAGAATTGGTGCCTTTGAGTGGAGAAGGGAGTCCCAAGTGTGTGTGTGCTGCTCTCAGTCAACCCCTGGCTCCATCTCACTGCCCAAGGTGGGATCCCACCCTTTCTGAAGGGACAGGACTCCCCAGTGTGGTGTGTTTGAGTAGAGAACAGTCATTTTATCCTTGCAAGGTGCCTTTGGCCCTGGGCTGTGGGCTGGGGACCCTCATGTCCATCCCTGGGATGTTTGCAGCTGCCATTCCATAGGGAAGGATGAAGCTGGGTGGGATCAGCCTGTCCTGTCCTCTGAGTGAGATTTGAGGCTTTCCCTCTGCCTCAGGTCACGGAGGGTTCAGTGGGATTTATTCTGTGCTTACCAGGAAGAAGTGAAGCACCACTGCCCAAGCCCACCCTCCGTGTGCTGCTCCAGCCCCTGGGCTCTTCCCAGCTTCCTCGGGCTCTTCATGCTCCTTCCTTTCCCCTGAAATGGGAGTTTCAGGACACATTAACACCTTCCTGCGGTGCTGTTTCAGTTCAAAAGCTGTTCCCCTGAAGGCAGGACCTGCCTTGGAACCCCTTGGAACCCCTTGGCTGCTGCCGGAGCAAACCCCACACTCTGCCTTCGGTTTGGAAGGTGGGGGAAGATCCACCAGCTTTTGTTGACAAGGGATGTTAAATTACACATTATCCCTGCCTGGAAACTGTTTAATATCCTTTCTCTTTCCCACCAAAGTACTGTAACAACTTAAGCTTTAAGGGCTTTGAAGTGAAGCACCTTTAGAGCTTTAGCAGTTTGGTTTGTGCCCCCAGTCAGGGGGTCACGTCTGTCTGATCCAGTTTTGAGCCCCCAGGAAGCTCTTCCAATCCCATCCTCTGCTTGTCTCCCTTCCATCCCCTCTGGCAGAGGCAGGATCCTGCCCGAGGGAGCAGCTGGACCCTGGAGCAGCTGGGGCTGATGATCCTGAAATCTTTCCTTACCTCCTTGCTGCCTCATGCTGGAAAATCCTCCCCAGAACAGTCGATGGTGAAGAGGAATTGTCTCTTCATTTGCTCCAGAGCCTAAATACCCCTTCCTGACTTGGCAGCCCAAAGTCTGCTCCTTCATTCACATCCCGAGAGGATGATGGTGTCTGTCCTTCCTGCAAGCCCCAAAGCAGAACGTGGAGCCTGGCAAGAGCTGGGGCTGAGTTACAGAGCCCGTCCTCCTCCCCCTCCTCCTCTTCCTCCTCCTCCTCCTCCTCTCTGTTAGGCCACAAGGCCGGAGTCCCTCCCCTTCCCCAGCTGGGAGCAGGAAATCCAGGGCGTTGGGAGCAGAAATCCTGTTGGGAAAGAGGAGGGGAAGCCTGCAAGGGTTGTAACTCCAGGGAAAGCTTTGAATGTGGCCGGATGAAGGAAGCGGAGGTGGCAGTGCTGGACTGGATCCAGGCCTGTCCCTCCCCGTCCTGCCCAGCCCTTGGCTTGGGAAACTGTCATTTAGGGGGGGATAGTCTGGAAAATGTTGTCATTTCCAGCGGGATGGAGCAGCTGGGATGGAGCAGCTGTGCTGCTGCAGCCCCGGGACTCAGTGGGATCGGCCTTGGCTCCCTGCCTCCGTTGTAAACATGCCCCAGCTCCTGGATAAACATGGCCCTCGTGCTTCCTGCCCTGCTGTGGGCTGACCTGTCACCCCAGTCGGCATTCCTGAGGTCAGAGAAAACTGGGATCACTGTGGGACCCTAATACTGATCTCTGCTCCCTCCCTTGGCAAAGTTCCCTCTTTCCAGAGGAGCCCAAGAAATAAGGGAGTCTCTGAGCTTTCCCTGTAGGAAGACTTTTAATACTTGTATTAAGCTTTATTTACATGGGATGGGGTTTGCAGGGAGGGTGGTTTACGGGCCTGAAGGAGGGGGGGGCAGCAGGGGCTGGGAGCAGCAGCATCTGCACTCAGAGCTCTTGGAATTCCAGGGGGAAATACTCCAGCTCCAGCTGCTCCACCTTGGTGGGATGTAGGTAGAGCAGAGAAGGACTCTTCGAGGCCACCACAGAGTCTGGGCCTGCAGAGATCTCAGGGCTTTACTGAGAATTAACACTGAGCTGGACAGGACTGTGGACTCAGCCGTGCAGAGCCTCCTCCTGCCTGGTCCATGGGGTCTGGCACTGGCACTGTTGAACAGAGCAGCTCGTTGGAGTCCAGTCAGAGCAGCCTGAATGTCATTTTCTCTCTGACCCAGCCCAATTTTCACCTCATGCTCTGCTGTGAAACTTCCCTTCCCCTCCTGCATGAGACCAGCTGCAGCCCAGCTCCTTTTCTCTCCCTGCCACACAGGAAGCATTGGAGTGTAGCAGCTTCCCAGGGCTTTTTTCAGGATTCTTTCCCTGCACTGTTTCAAATCTGGGGTCTGGGTTTGTGAGGATGTTGCCAACATCCATTTCCAGCTCACCCAGGGCCAGCACATCCAGCTTTAATCCAAGGCACAGTGAGCAAGAAATTCTCCCACAGAACGTTTAACTCGAGGAGGTGAAACGTTTCCCAGGAGAAATTCCTTGGGAAGTATTTGTACCTTTCCTGCTGGAGGAGCCTCCATTAATTCCACTCTCTCCTCTAGAGAAATGCTAATGAAGGGAGTGGGAGAAGTTACCTCACTTGGCTTTGGAAACAAAGCACCAGGCCCAGCTCCCACAGTGGACCAAAGAGAAGCAAAAGGGTGTTTTTACAGGTCATTTATTGATTTCTCCAACCAACAACACACATACACCTGGTAGGATCTGACCTTCCACAGGCTGGGTGAGTGACCACGTGTCACCCTCAGCACCACAAGTGCTACAGTGGGAGTTGGAGACCTGGAGAGCTGCACAGGAGCTGTTCAGAAGAGAGGGAGAGCCTTCACCCCAGGATTGGGGTTCCAAACTGGAGCTGGAGTGCAGGGTTGTGCAGGGAGGAGGAGCTGGGAGTGCAGCAGGTTCCCAGTGATCAGGATGCCAACTTATGCACTGCTACAGTGATGGTGTCGTGCTTCTGGATCATGATGTTCCTAAAACAAGGAGAAAGTGCTGAGGGAGGGGAGGAGGAGCTGGTGGAGGTGGGAACTGGACCCGGGATCATTCAGCAGCTGCAGCAGCCCCAGCTCCAAGCCAGATCCTGCCTCCCTTCCCACTCTGTGAACTGGAGACATCCCTGCTGCCACACTGACTCCCACAGCACCGCCTGAGTTATCCACAGGGATCCCAAGCGTGGAAAAGGAACAGAGCTGCAGTAACCACCCCCCTCCCAAAAGCTTTCCCACTGCTTTTACAGTTCCTGCCTCTTAAAACCCTGTTAATCCAGTGAATCCCTGTGCCTGGGGCAGTGCCTCCTCCACAGCTTCAGAGCTGGGGCTTCCTCCAGGAGCTGCTCCCGAGATCTGACTCCAGGAGGCTCCCAGGGCTGGGGAAAAGGAAAACGGGGGGAAAAGTGGCCCCGGCAGGCTGGGAACTTACCCGGTGTCCGACTCCAGGCACACCACGGGGGTGTCCGTGGGGTCCGAGCTGAGCTTGGCCGCCTGCTGGGCCAGCACGGAAATGATCCCGGCGTGCTCGTCAGAGAGAGTCCCTCGGCCTGGAGGGGGGACACGATGGAAAAAGCCCCGTGTGAAACCCATTTGCCTCCCCCGGGCCAAGGGGGGCTGATCCTCTCCCCAGACTTGCTCTCAAACCACCAGAATGTCCTGAATTTCGGTGGCAGGAAGAGCCGGCTCTGGTTTCCTCTGCGGTGCAGGTGGGTGGTGGCCCCTGGGGACACCCAAAGGTGGGGCCAGGACAGCAGGACAGGGCCTGGTGTCCCCAAAGTGGGGTTCATGCAGGACAAGGCCAGGGACCCCCAAACGGGGTGGGGGGGTTCCAGTAGGGCCAGTGCTCCCCCCTCCCCGCGGAGTCCTTACAGGGGATGGGCAGGGTTTGGGGACCCCCAGCCCGCGGCCTCACACCCATAAGAGCCCTTAGGGGGCATGGGCAGGACCCAGGGGCCCCCAAGCCGGGGACCCCCTCGGGGTAGGACCAGCTGCCCCCCACCCCCAGGAGCTCTTAAAGGGACTGGGCGGGTCTTGGACCCCAGACCGGGGTCCCCGTGGGACAGCACCCGGCGCCCCCACCCCCAGGAGCCCTCAGATGGGATCGCAGGACCCGGGACCCCCACCCCCGGTGGCCCCCAGCCCCGCAAGCCCTCGGAGGGCCCGTGCCGGCCCCGGCCTCCGGCGGCGCTCGCTCACTCACAGCCCAGGTTGAGCCCCTGCGAGTCGGTGCACAGGACGCCCACCACGGCCGGGCTCTTCATGCTGGGGGAACACAGCGCGCTCAGGGCCGGGACCTCCGCCCGCCGGGGCGTCAGGCCGGCCCAGCCCCGCTCCCCCATCCCCCTCCGGCCCTGCCCGCGTCCCCCGTGTCCCCCCCTGCCTCCCCCGTGTCCCGCCCGTGTCCCCCCGTCCCCACGTCTCCTCCAGGTGCTGCTCCAGGGTCCCCTCCATGGCCCCGCCGCCACTTCCGCCCCGCTCCGGGCAGCTGCGTCACCACGTGACCCCCCCGGACGGCGGCTCCGCGCGCCCAAAAGGGGCCGTCCCGCGTTCGGCGTCAGCGGCGCCGCCGGGGAAATCCCGCCCGCTGCGTTCCCGGGAATCATCCCGGGAATCATCCCGGGATCCCGCACAATCCCGCACAATCCCTCACACCAGCACCTCGCCTGGAGCTGGGGGGAGCTCGCAGCAAACCCGCACCCTCAAACCAACCCTCCCTGGGTGCCTTTTCCCCGCAGAGCGTGTGACAGAGATGCAATTTTGAGGTGTTTTTTCCTTCCTTTCTCGACCTTTTCCCGCCCGAGCCTGGTTCAGTTGTGTCCCGCTCCCTTCCCGCAGCACCGCTCGGGGTTTGTGCAGCCAAATGAAATTCAGGCGGGGTTTTGATGGAGTCCCTGCAACTCTCCCCCGGCAACAGCATCCTCTTGGAGCTGGACCACGGCGGGGGATGCAGGTTGGGATGCAGGTTGGGATGCAGGTTGGGGTGCAGATTGGGATGCAGGCTGGGATGCAGGTTGGGGCGCAGCTTGGGATGCAGATTGGGTGCAGGGATATGGGACATGGGACACGAGGATATAGCTGGGGCCCAAAATTTGCAGCCATGCTGGACCCTCCTCACCTTCCCACTGGGCAGAGAGGTGATAAAAGTGATTCTCAGCCCAGATTTCCGTCGAGAACCCCCTCAAAATCCAGCCCATACCAGACCAATAAACACAGTGGCAGGACAGCCAGCACCCCATCGCCCTCCCAAGGGGCAGAGAGGTGTTAAAAGTGATCCTCAGCCCAGTTTTCCATTGAGGAACCCCCAAAATTCATCCCTGCTGCCAGCAGAGGGTGAGAGGTGATTTACGGCGGAGCAGCCCAGAGCTGGGTGACATTAATGAGGCCCCGTCTGCCGCCGCCCCCGGCTGCTCCTGCCGATGGATTTGGGCTTGGCAGGTCAGGAAATTAAAATGTTATTGATGGGGGGAGTGAAGTGCAGCAGGATCGTTTATTTTTTATGTGATTTTTCTTTCTCCTTGGTCCAGCTGGGAGCTCCCGCAGGCAGCACAAAGAGCCCCCATTCCAGCTGTCCAGGGGCTTCCCACTGCATCCCACCCCGCTGGCATGGCTGGGAATGGAATTGCCTTTATTTGTTTGCTTTTTTTTTTCTTTTCACACTTCTAGGAAGCAACGCTGGACAAAAATACAAATGGAGATGAGGGGGCTGCAACCTCTCTGTCCCATCAGCCCCTTTGCAAGGAAACCTCCCCAAACCAGCAATTCCTGAGCCGTTGTCGGCTGTGGGATTTCTGGAAGGAGAGATTTTTGGGAAAGTGGGGATTAATTCATTCAAGCCCAGGTGGAGGAGACTTTGGTGATGCAGCAGAGCAGCTGCCACATCAAAGGCTGGCCTGGGGGCAGGGCAGTGTTGGGTTTGGTTTTAACTAATTGAACTGATGATTTAGCACCAGACTGAACCTCTAGGAAAAAAAAAAGTTACCCAGAAAAGCCCCATGAAATCCATATTTCAAATCCCAACCCACCTTGGGCCACGTTTCCCACATGGGGCAGCTCCTGGTCCCTGATTTGCCCCCAAGGACCAGGTCTAGCCCCAAAATCGGCCTCGGGGTGTTTGTTCCTCAGTGGGAAAAGCCAGAAGAGATGGAATTCATGATGCTGGTGAGGAGCTGTGATCCCACCGGGGTGGC